CACAAGCTCTCACAGTTGGCTCCTGTCCACATCAGATCCCATTTAAATGACTTCCGACACAGCTTTCCTTACCTACCTCTCCCCACCGCTCCATCCTGTTCTCTCCAACTCTGCACCCTGCACAGTTCCTTGCTGTAACCATTATTTGTGATGTTATGTTTATCTTCCCTAAGCACCAGGAGAAAAGGGCTCCCGTCTCCCCAGCACCACCTACACCAGAGCCAGCCTCAGAGCAGAAACCATCCACGGACAGGAATTTGGCCCCTCGGGCGTCATGGTCTGGGCTACCCCCAGAAGATCCTGAGACAAGAATTTGAGCGCCAGAGGTGTATCTGGGTGATGAGCCCAGAACACATCAGCAGGTGAGCAGACAAGTGAGAGGTGAGAGGCAAGAAGCCAGCAAAGGGGCGCTGCCAGTCAGGTACCCCGTGGGCGACAGGAGCATGATCCTGTCGGGGGCTCCTGGAGGCTGTGCAGATGCGTGGCTCAGAGTCATCCCACTGAAGGGAGGGGCGATGGGGTCTTCATCCACTTCTGGGGCCTGCACTCTCCAGCCCTCAGGCAGAGGTTCCCAGGTGTTCACACTAAGCTGCCTCCAACGCATATAAGCCATTACCAGAGTGGCCAGGGCTGGCCAGCAGCAGCCTCTGCCTTCTCCAGTTACTGACCCTCTAATGTCCGTGCTAGCCCGCAGGGCCGCGGGGATCAGAACACTGGGTGGTAAGAGGCCCACTGTTCCATCTGGTTCAGGCAAAGCACAACAGGATCTGGCCAAGACCTGGCTGCCGGAGGGAGGACCTTCTCTGGGCTCCCCGGGGACAGCTGCTACATGGGGTGGACCTACAGTGGCCCTGCCCATCTGTCCTCCCAAATGCATCTTGGTCAGAGGTGGTTCTGGAATTACAGCAATCCGTTCTCTCTTTCTCTAAGTTTTTGTTGGTTAGTTTTTCATTTTTATTGTGATTTGGGTGAAAGTTGACAGAGCAAATTCATTTTCCATCAGAAGTTCATACACATTTTGTCTCATGACACTGACTGTTAATTCCCCACAATGTAACATGAGAGATGTAGTTCGAGATCATATTCACCCATTTAAAGTACACAACTCAATGATTTTTGGCATATGCCCCGACATGTGTGACCATCCCCTCAAAGAGTAAAGCTCAGAAGGCAGGAAGGGGTGGAAAGGAGGACAAATGGTTACGGCGATCCCAGGGAGGAAGTGGGAGAAGTTCCATTGCGTGGAAATGTTACGCAACTGTGTATAAATTGTTGAATGAAAACGATTTTGCTCTGTAAACGTTCACCCAAACCACAATAAGTAAATAAAGAGAGAGAGGGAAAAAAAAAACAACCCTGTACTCTAGCTATCATGCTCATGCCCGTTTCCCCTAATCGCCACCATCCCAAACCCTAAGCAGCCACTCATCTCCCTGAATAGATCTGCTTGTTTGGGAGAGTTCATGTAAATGGAATTGTATGTGATGTCTGTGTCTGGCTTCCTTCACTAGGCATAAGGTTTGCAAGGTTCATCTGTGCTGAAGCATGTACCACCGTTCCTTTAACGGCTGCACAACATTCCACTGTATGGATGGACCACACTAGGCTTATCCCTTCAACTGTGGATGGACGGGTTGTTCCCACCTTTCAGCTATTGTGAATAGTGCTATGAACAACCATGGACAAGTTTCTGTGTGGATGTATTTCTTCATCCTCTTGGGAAAATACCTAGGAGTGGAGATCAGTCCCCTGTTGAGTGCACCCTCAGGGCTGTACGGGTGATGCCCTCGTCACACCGTGAAGCTGGCTGGCCTTCGGTCCAGGCCAGGGATGGACCCTAGAGGTGGAAACGTCACCTCTGTTCCCTGAGCCCTGTGCCTGAGTCTGCCTGTCCTGAGAAGGTGGCAGAGCCATCACCTAGCCTGTCACAGCTGTCACTACGACTTCCCAGGCACTTCCAGAGAGCACAGGGGAGCTCCAGAGGCCACCAGAGGCTGCCCTCTGCTGGGACACCCCCTCGGGTATCAAGAGGACAGGAAGGAAGTCCCTCTCCACCAGTGCTGGTTTGCTATTTGGTAATCAGCAAAGCCGGCGGCCACAAGGCATTTCTGTCGGAGTGCCAGCACTTGACCTTGCATCACATGGGGGGCATCTTGCCGAGTGACGATTCCGCCACTAGAAGGGGTGCGGGGGGCACGAGGACAGTGTCAGGCCCACTGCGCCCAACCAAGTGAATCCAAAACCACCTCTCTGACCTGAGGCTTGGTGTCTCAACTCAAATGTTCCCAAGAGCTGCCCACGTCACAAGAAGCGGTGTGGCCTAGGGACGGCCTAGGTG